ATTTTTGTACTTACCCTTTTTTGTGAACTGACAAAGGACAAGATTAGATTAGATTTATAATTTCAAGTTGAATGTGTTTTTCATTCCTCACAGGACAGACAATTCCCAGTGGGGCTGAAGGAATTCCTCAAGGAGAACTTGGTCCAGCTGGACCACCTGGACCAGAGGGGCCTCCAGGACCTCCTGGACCTCCAGGAAATGGACAGCCAGGGCCTGTGGGACAACCTGGACCTTCTGGTCAACCAGGATTGCCTGGAATGGGAAAACCAGGTTTACAAGGGCTGCCAGGCAAGCCAGGAGGAAATGGTGAGGCTGGACCACAAGGTGAAATGGGTCCCAGCGGTGAGAATGGACCATCTGGACAGCCAGGACCTCAGGGTCCCCCAGGACCACCTGGGCTACCAGGAATAGGTAAACCAGGGGTGCAGGGACTACCAGGTCAACCAGGGACAAAAGGAGAACCAGGTCACAAAGGTCTACCAGGACTACCAGGATTACCCGGACCCAAAGGTGATAAAGGAATGGGTCAGCCAGGACAACCCGGTCACAAAGGTCTCCCAGGGCCCCATGGACCAGCAGGCCCAAGAGGACTGCCTGGTTTTGGAAAACCTGGGTTGAATGGGGCACCAGGCCCACAAGGACCACCAGGAGAGAAAGGACATCCTGGAGAGCAAGGACCAGATGGGCCACGTGGTGAAGGAGGACAGCCTGGTTCACCAGGACTCCCTGGTCAAGGAAAGCCAGGTCAAAATGGCCTTCCAGGACAGCCAGGCATGTCAGGTGCCAAAGGACATCCAGGACCACCAGGTTTGCCAGGGAAGCCAGGACTTCCCGGGTTTGGTAAACCAGGGCTGCCAGGACCAAAGGGTGATAAAGGCATGGGTGGGTTACCTGGACTGCTAGGCCCAAAAGGAGAAAAGGGACATGGAGGACTACCTGGTATGCTTGGATCCCCTGGACCAAATGGTCCACCAGGTCTTCCAGGTTCCATGGGACCACCAGGAGGTATAGGTTCCCCTGGACCTAAAGGAGACTGCGGTGAAGGAGGGCCTAAAGGGCTTGATGGAGCCCAGGGTGAACCTGGTCCTCCTGGGATACCTGGTAAGGATGGTCTGACTGGAAACAATGGAGAGCCAGGGCCAAGAGGTCCCCCCGGGCCAAGTGGTGTCAAAGGAGAAGATGGACATAAAGGTCTACCTGGTACCCCTGGTCCTCCAGGACTTCCAGGGCTAAAAGGACATGGTGGATTACCTGGTGAAGTCGGACCCCAAGGCCCTAAAGGAATCCCAGGAATGGATGGTGCAGCAGGACCAATTGGGCCTGCTGGTCTTCCTGGGTCAAAGGGAGATGGTGGTCCCCCTGGTCTACCGGGAAGTGTAGGTGAGGGGAGTCCAGGTCTTCCTGGTCCCATAGGACCCCAAGGAAAAGAGGGACCATTAGGACCCTCTGGAAAACCAGGTCAGCCTGGCCCTCCTGGACCACCAGGCCCACCTGGAGCAACTGGACTGTCTCCTGACATGGCTGGAGTACTCTCTGTAATGGGACCTGGACTAGATGGTGTTAAGACAGGTAGTTACAGTAAGAAGGGCAAGTATGACGGTAATGGGGCAGAAGTAATGGGTGTCAGTGGGTTGGAAATGCCAGCATTTACAGCTGTAGCAACAACTCCCTTTCCACCTGTGGGGACTCCAGTTGTTTTTGACAAGCTCTTATACAATGGTCGCCAAAACTACAACCCCCAGACAGGAATTTTCACCTGTGACATGCCTGGCATTTATTACTTTGCCTACCACATCCATTGCAAAGGAGCCAATGTGTGGGTGGCTTTGATGAGGAACAATGAGCCAGTGATGTATACATATGATGAATACAAGAAGGGTTTCCTAGACCAAGCATCAGGGAGTGCGGTACTACCTTTACAACCTGGAGACACTGTGTATATTCAACTGCCCTCAGATCAGGCTTCAGGACTTTATGCTGGGCAGTACGTGCACTCCTCCTTTTCTGGATATTTGTTGTATCCAATGTAAAACCACAAACTGCAAGAAGAGAGAGGCTTTAGTGAGAACAAAATAGGAGCATAGTTTTGTATTATAACAACTGAATTACCTGAGACAGAGCAGTCCTTTTAATGCAAACAAACTGTTGATCAATAACAGACATGAGAGGAGAAGATAATGAAGGGTTGTACAGAAAACAGCTTTTATCCTGTGAACCCTTATAGCTGTTTAATCGGGAAACAAAGATCTTTGTTTCACAGCTTTGAAAACAAAAAGAGTGGGGACATTCTATGAAGACCTAAGATGGCTCTGGAAGTATTCTTTTTTTAAAACAACAAGAGTGCAATTTGTTATTAAATGTAAAGACATCAGAGGAATGTGTAAAGTGTATGGAAAAGAAGATTAAAAATGTAAAGTTCTAGTAATACCATTGTAACAGTATTAGATTGTGTCCCTGCACCTCTTCAAAACTGGCAGCTACTCCATGTGGCAAGAATGTGAAATACAGTAGGAAGGCATTCTGGCAAGAAATTCATAATTTTACATTTTCACCTTTGTAAAAATGTTTTACAGCAAGTAAGTAAAATTGCATTGCATTGAGTATTTTAGACATTAATGCATTTCAGGTCATGCAACCTGCAAATGACTGAGGTTTGTAATTTGAGTGAGAATCAAAGAATAAGAATGTAATATTAATTTCATGTTTTTTTTATGGATGTAGTGCTGTAAAGAAATATTTTTTATGCAAAATCACAAAGGTCAAATAAACTCAACATTTTGCCCTGAACTATCAAAACCACTCCTTTGAATGAATATGAAACACCAATAAACAGAAAACGCAAGACCAGATAGTCTGTCTCAATATGTACTGCACATGTACAATTGTGCAGTTATTACTTAAATTATTTGACAGGGTTTAAGTAATTTTCCACTCAATTCTGCTGTTGAAAGAAAAGTCAAACAGATGAGGATTTATATAAAGATTTCACTATAGTGTGATTTCATCCTTTTAGACATAAATGTATCTGTTTTTAATTTAAAATTCAACTGTTAATACTCTGTAACTCTTCTGTAAGTCATGATTTCAAGTTAGAACAACTTTATACATAATCCTATTGTAGTTATAATAGCAGCATAATTAAAAAGGTGACATATGAAAACTAATTGGTAACTACATGTGTTAAATGAAACTCTTTAACAATGGGGCTTCATATGTAACCAGTTGCTTTCGTGTAATTTGTTTTGTGATATAACAAAATTAGGTTCCACAGTTTTCCTGGTGGGATTCATTTAGAATCTTGCTGCCATGTTTGTGAGGAAAACATCAATTTGCATTACAGGACTCAAAACAAGTCATGAACATTGCAGCAAATCATAGCAACAATTATGTCAGTAATTTATTATTTTATCTGCGGATTACCTATATGCTATGAAATGGACATCCAGCATTAAAAGTTTTAAAGGAAAAAATAAATGTTTCTTCTTTTAACCATGGTGCTAATATTTTCAGTGTAACCAATGAATTTGTGTCTTATTGTTTCATGTTTGTTATGATTATCTATTGTTTTTTAAATAAAATTGTTTAATTAAAACAACTGTTGACTTTTGTTCTGACATCTTTGTTTCGAAGCTGACAGAAGACAATCTATTTGAATGAAGCTGGAATATAAAATATTTATTCCCTGTGGGGAGCCCAGACACTTTTGCTGTTAAAGTCACACCATGTGGCAGGTATGCTGTGCAACTTTAAAACTCATGATCATGATGTAACATTGATCTGAGAATCACTGTTGAGGTCATTATGATAATCATCTTTATTATTTAATAATTCATTCAGGAATGAAGGAAATCGAATTTCAGGTCTAACAGAAACAAAAAGGGTGAAAGATATCGATAATACACAAGATCTTCCAGCAACCACAACAATACAGTACAACAGGTAGCTTTAACACTAATTAATGCAAAAAAGGCTTGAACCTTTACTCTTTAATGTAAAAGACTTTATGTGAGGGGCACTGTATATGCACCAACAATATTGAAGAAGTACATGAAGAAGAAGAAGTAGTGCAGTGATGAAAGTTGTGACTGGGCAAAACTGTGTTTTCATCTTACTTTATCAATCAGTTATGAGACGTCTTCAGTCAAAAATATCACAGAAAATATATTAAAAACCAATGTTTTCTCACACAGATGCACATATATACCTGTATAGGAATGTGTCTCATATAAATGTGTACAAACAAAATCTAGTTTCAAGCTCTTCATCATGGTTTTGTGAGTTCAGATCTGATTTTTATTTTGTGTGTATTAATGTGGCTGTGCAGCAAATAACGGAGTTAAATGATAATGGTGACAGCAAAGTGGAAATGAACGGATGAGCTGTTTTCTAAACTCGTGTTGCCGGAACACTGAGCAGATGTTGCAGGTCACGTGATGAGAGGACAGATGCTGATGCTGCGGTGGGAGGACTTCCGGTTGTGTCCGTGTCTGCGCATGCGCGGATTCGTCGGAAGCATCTTTTTTCATCACATCTTTTGTTTGCACGAATTTAAGCAACGAGCTCGAGCGCACGGAGAGGAAAACACAGCGGTAAGCTTTGTGTTAACCTGTGTTTAACACTGTGATGTCCACACTGACGATAACAAGACGCTAGTCCTCATGCACTGTGTGTGTGTGTGTGTGTGTGTGTGTGTGTGTAAAAGTAACGCTGAATCAGGTCAGTTAGCAACAGCAGCTAACCTGCCTTAAAAACAACTATTAGCATGTAAGCTAGGTGTAAGCGTTAGAACGAGTCTTTTGGGTTTTTATAACTAAACCACTGTCTCATGTGTTTTTTTAAACTAAAATTAACTAATTAAATTAAGACGTATGAATAAATAAATAAGTAAATGAATTAATGACAAAGAGATAAAAACAGAACATGAATACAGAGATTCAATAATCACACGTTACAAGTCCACATCATTTCACATCTGTTCCAGTGTTTCTAAAAAACAAACCATTAGTGTAAGTTAAGATCTTTATCATCTGCAAGTAAAATGACTGTTGTGAGGATTTGCTGCCTCTCAATCGTTTTCAGTATCTTCTGCTTTTTAATTGCAGACAAAACTATTTGAAATGTTGTCCTCTGTAAGAGTGTTTTTTTTGTTCACTATTTCCTGACATCTTATGCATAGTGGCAGCTCTGGTTCCGTCATGTTCTGCTTGTGTTTTTTCTTGTTTGTGTCGCTAGGTCTCTCTCAACATGACGTCACGTGTAGGTTCGAGAGCTGCTGGTACCAATGGAAGTGAATTTAAACTCAGAGAAAGGGTGACCCCACACTACCAGATGAGGCAAGTCAACTACATCTGATGTTGCTCTTCAAATGTGAATGTTATCTTGAAATTAATTTACACACCCTGATATTCCTCTTTCTATTTCTCAGTGCTTCCCTGAAGTCAGAGGTGCGGAAGTTAAACTTGGTCCACCTCCTGATCTGGCTGCTGGTTGCTGCTCAGGTGGTCGTCAGCCACTTCAACCTGGTGTCACACGACACGGTGTCCATGCCGTACCAGTGGGAGTACCCCTACCTGCTCAGCCTCCTCCCTCTGGTCTGCAGCAGCCTGTCACTTCCTAAGAACAACATCAGTTACCTGGTTTTGTCCATGATCAGCGCAGGGCTGTTCACTATGGCACCTCTTATTTATGGTGGAATGGAGATGTTTCCTGTCGCGCAGCAGCTCTACCGCCACGGAAAGGCCTACCGCTTCATTTTCGGCTTCTCCGCAGTGACTGTTATGTACCTCGTCATGGTGATTGCTGTTCAAGTGCACGCCTGGCAGCTGTATTACATGAAAAAGCTGCTAGACTCATGGTTCAGTGCCACAGAGGAGAAGAAGAAGAAATAGTGGAGTGAGGAAATTGTGACTGGGCAAGACTGTGTTTTCATCTTAATTTATAAATCATTTATGAGACTTATTCAGTCATAAATGTCATAGATCATATATTAGAAACCAGTGTTTACTCAAAGAGATGCAAAATAGAGCAAAATCTACAATTTATGCTGGAACTTATTTATTTGTTCATTTATTTATTTATTTATTTATTGTCACCATTATTAATAACTGTAATTTGAACTCAACCACCTTAAACCCTCGACATCAGAGGGTCTGGATCACTGCTGTACTCCAAATTGTGAAAGTGGTCATTTAGGACCAGGCCTCATTCTCATTAAATTGTTGTCATGGTTTGAAGAGAATGGATGTAGAGTTGTTCATTAACTGTTCCAACTCACATACAGTCATGTGCACAGATCTTAAGCACTTTACAAGTTTAGCTCCATCACGTAGTACCATCGAGGAGGCATATGCAACGAGTCCTGCTTCAACAGGCTCAGACAGAGATGTGTTCTTAATATAAAAGATTATGTGAAAAGATAGAAAACACTGAGGCTAAAGAACGATGGCAAATTCTCCAACATGCATGGAACAACATACCAGCATGTTGAAATCTGTGTCCTCGCTGTTTTAAAGAGGTTGAGTTTCAATGTCTGTTAAGTTATTTTAATTTTTTCTGCACATGTGCTTATGTTTGCTCCTTCATTACGTCTTCCTCTTTCAATATCATTTTGACCTGAATACATTTTAGCCATTAAAAAAAGAAAGTAACCACAGTAACTGCATGTTTTGTTATGTTTTCAGGTATTTTACTTCAGCATCAGAAACCCAGTCTGTGCACGTGGATAAAATGTGCATTGTTAACAATATGAATACAAAAATAAAGGACTCCTCTTTAACTTAAAGTGTGAAGTTGTATTACCTCTCTCATCGCACTTTGTCCCCACGCTGTGCGGCTGCGCGCTGTGAATGCCACGTACTGTCTGACGTTGACAGTGAGGAGGACGCTTCCTGATGCTGGCCCGGACCCGGCTAGGCTAGCTAACACATTTCATTTTCACGGTTCGGGGGCAAAGCTGTGAAACACAGCGTTGTCAAATCGTCTGATTCAGGTAAAGGACCCTCTCTGTGTTGTGTTGTGTTCTCATTTGGTTTTTATACACGCGGCGGTTTCCGTGCTAGCATTGTTTGACTGGTACGTTGCTAGCTAAGCGGCTAGCGTTAGCCGGCTAGTGTTGTGCGCTAATGCTAGGGTAGGACGCCCGAAACAGGTGTCGAGTCATGGGAAGTAGTTTCCAAAAAAAAAAAAAAGATTCGTAACTAGTTCATTCTTGTTTAAGTGAACGAGAACCGGAAATATTATCCAATTACGAATAAGTTAGCTTACACAGCTCTGAGTGCGTATTAAAGGGAGCTAACACAAGTCACACAGGAAACCGCTTTTGCGTCTCCATTGCTAAGAAGTGAAATTAAGATACACACTCTTACTCCAACTCTTTTACACGACGACGGGTCTTATATATTAAAGCTTCTCACTCAGTGTGGCTGGTTGTATTTTAACAGGTGTGGTAGTCGTTCACACAGCTGAAGTGAAACGGGTTAGCTAACGTTAGCATTCAGCAGATAACTGCTGTTTATGGGCCACTGACCGATGACTCTGCGATTGATCGTCTCTTACAGTTAGCGTTAGCTTGATTACACCGTAACTACACTGTTAACTGTAAACGAGTTAGCACCAGTAGACACCGGGGTTGTTGTTGTTATCCTCTTTTTAATACTAGTGTGTGCTATGGCTAAACGTTAGCTACAACACAATCCCTAGCATCCAGCCAATTATTCATCTGGCTACTGGGTCAAGTAAAGCCGCAGCATTTCTGGAATTACACTGACAGCAGTGAGTTGTGCAGCTGACATCATGAGCAGGTAACGTCATAGTTAATCCAGCTGGTGCCTACACGCAACCCACGATGGACATGTTGTTCGATCACAGGATATTTACACGTACTGTTAATATCTTTGATTGTGTTTATCTACTCGGACGATATTTAGGGTCAAAGTCTGCAGGTGTGAGCCACCTCCCGGGCTGACGTGTGACCCTTAGACCACGGAAACTGTGTGATGTCGGTGAACAAGATTGTTTGATCAAATCGTCTGAGCAAAGGGCAGCTCTCTCCTTCTCTTTGAAATGTTATATTTAATCAAAGCTCAGGAAATAGGAGTTGCTAATTTCCTCATGATCTCATCAAGAAACAACCTCACTTAAATTTTTAAAAAAAGTATTGACTCTCATAGTAACAACTTCCCATGACCTCTTTACCTACTAACACAGACCAAGGCCTCAAGTTGACCTGACATGTTAGCATGTTATCAATTCGATACGGGGGATGTAATGTATCTTGGATTGATAAATTCATCAACAGTTGTTATTGCTGAAAACCTCTGAGGTTAATTTATAAACAATACAAGGTCAGTCTGTCTTTCCTAAAGATTAGTACAATGATGAAAGCAAATCAAAGCTAGTACATCATCAGAAATATAAGATAAAAACAACCACTGTGCCTTATTAAATTCAGATTAAATCACAAGATATAATGGGGTGGGTGTTACCCAATATTGCATTGTGCCTAATTAATCTATAATGTGCATCCACCTTTGGGGGTAAAACATGAATTTCCACATGACCGATGACCTTTATTATTTGCAATATGCAAAGTTTTGTCTACTGTCTTGTTTGTTATCTTACTCATAAGATGGATGAAGTGACGCACATCAAAATATACAAAGCATTTTTTTTTTCACGTTTTTTTCCTGAATCCATCCTTTCTTATAAATATAGGCAACGATCTCTGCTGAGGTTTTCGCAAACCATGTGCTGCAGGCATGATAAAAAAAAAAAACCTCATGATACACATTGTCATAACACTGCATCACTGTGACGCATGAGTACATCTCAATTTCCATTAATCCCTTAAGAGGACAAAAAATAAAGATACTTGCAAGATAATGTTAATGAAACTTAGACATAAGAGATTTAGACATTGCTAATGTGCCCATCATACAAAATCAAGTGTTTGGTTTAACTTAAGGACTAAAATTTAAATGAACTCAAACTGAGAAATACAGACTAGTATGGTAATGTTGCTGAGTTGGTTGTTTTAACAATTTTTTGTCATATTGTAAAGTGGTGGGAGCAGAGCAGGTCGAACTGTACCATGAACGGCCAGCTGGACCTGAGCGGGAAGCTGATCATCAAAGCACAGTTGGGCGACGACATCAGACGTATCCCTATCCATAATGAAGACATCACTTATGATGAGCTGGTGCTGATGATGCAGCGCGTCTTCAGGGGCAAGCTGCAGAGTAATGACGAAGTTACCATCAAATACAAAGATGAGGGTGAGTCCAGACACGGGTCCTTTAACCGAATTGGCATCAAAAATAAAAGTTAATGATAATACGTTTTCCTCAGTTGGAGATCATTTGCTGCACATGGAATCATCTGGTATCTCTTTTCCGTTTTTTTCAGATGATGATCTCATCACCATCTTCGACAGCTCTGACCTCTCCTTTGCCATCCAGTGTAGTAGAATACTCAAACTGACTTTGTTTGGTAAGATTTTAAAGCATTTCCTTTCTCTACAGGTACATTTTATCACAAGGAATCCACAATTTAAGTCTGCAAACCTATAAACCAAGATGGCCTACATCAGATGTTACAGCAACCGGTCACTGGAGGGCAGTCCAGTTTATGTTTTACTCAACAGAAGTCAACTCTTCACTGACTCTGCACTCCCTTCTGACTCAGATTAGATGGAATTTCTGTGCGTCTCTTAGCATTGGTACTGCAAACAAACAGTGTGACAGACAAAAGATTTATTCACAAAAGACATTTGTGGCAGTTTTACTAGTTCCTAATGTTAAATTTAAATATGTGCCAGTCATTCAGGAGGCCTTCAGCAGTATGACTTCAGGTTTAATTAATGATGATTCGCAAACAGTCAGTAGGCCTCACCCTTACAAGTCAAACCTGTTTATGTCAGAATAACATGTGGCATAAAATTTAGGGTTGAGATGATGCATTATTTGATCTTTTTGATAATTGCTTAAATTGGAATATAAATGAGACCCCAGCAACTATATTACATACACAGTTCAATGGATAAAGAATTATTATATTTTCTGTAAGAGAATCCCCCAGTTATTAGCTTTTTGATGGTGTTTATGGTTGTTTCAGGCATTTGTCCTTCCTGCTACTAAACAACGTTGGGGCAGGAATTTACACTTATGGAAACATAGATCTAAAGAAAGTCAGTGTTTAAGGTACATTTAGTTTCAAAACCATAACACACCAGATCCTCATGCTGTTTTAATTATGGAATTTGTGATGACAACATGACGATGTTTGCTGTGTTCTACTCTGAGTCAGTCTATCCCCCAGTTGCTGTTTTTAGATATTTTTTCCCCTTTAAAAAAATATTTAACTTCCTCCCAGTCTAAACGAAGTCCTGGCACATCATCACATGACCTCACGTGTTAATTATATCCTCAGACATGAGATTCAGGGAGAGCTAAAGTTGCTGGATTTTCATTGCAGCCCGTGTTTGAGCACAGTTACTTGTGACCCCATGCATCTCTGTTTAGCATTATCCACTGAGACAGGGAAACATATGTGAGAAAGGAATGTCTGGTGATCACCATTCTACTACTTATTCTTCAGCAGTAGAACATTTCACTCTTTAATCAATTTGGAACGTGAAAACAAAGCCATGCAGTCCTTGTAGGGTTGAAGATTGTGAAGTACTTTATAATAAACTATTTCATTAAATAAACAAAGTAAGTTCCAACTGGCTTTTAAGTATGTTGCCTGACTGACAGACGAGCTTGATGACAAACCAGTGCGCTTATGCCCAGTGTTACCAGCTCCAGTGCCCCGCTGGCAGGGTGGAACTAATGAAGATGAGGCTCTAATTCCCTCTTTGAAAGATGATCCCTGTAATGCCAGGTGTTCAGAATGTGGAGCTAATAGAATTTGGGCAGATCATCTTTCATAATCTGCTCGTGCTTAGTATAGAATTATCTGCTTTTCCAGACCATTGAACTGCAGAAATCAGGTATCTCCTGTGTTTCTTTTACATTATAGCAAATGTTGTTTTCTGTGTCAAAGGTGATTGACTTTAAATGTTAATCATTTACAGTATTTGACTCGCTTTTCAATAGTGTCAGTATAATGTCAGTATTAAGGTTCCTACAAACAGTCACTTGAATCATCAGTCAGTATATTCATTCCCACTTCTTGGAATGTGAGGTTATGCCGGTTGATATTCCTGCCAGTTTATATATTTGTTTTACCGTCTGCGAGGCTATTGATACATTTCTGTACAGTCTCACCCAGAGTTTCCTCTGAGCTCAGTTAGAGACCAGATCTGTGTGAATGATGCATAATGATGCCCTATTTATAAATATATTGACTCAGCTGGAAGATTCTTGTATTCTGTAAAAGTAAGACTCAGATACTATTCATCACCCTCCTGGAGGTCTAACACAAATGTTATAATTTGATTGGCTCACTTGGGTCCCCTCTCTTCGTCCTACGATCTGCAGTGAATGGTCAGCCACGGCCTTTGGAGTCCAGCCAGGTGAAGTACCTGCGCAGGGAGCTCATCGAGCTCAGGAATAAAGTCAACAACCTCCTGGATAGTCTGGAGCCCCCCACAGAGCCTGGCCTGGCTGCCACAGCACCGGACAGTGGTAAGGAATCTGATACACATGTACATGTCAGTACTTGAGCAGTCAGATCAATATATTGTAGTTGATGAAAAAACTGCTGTACAGAATTACCACCCAATTTTTAAACCAGACAGAAATGTCAAGTTATTTTTCTAGAATAGTTTGTTTTGTACGTTCA